TTTAAAATAATTAGCTTTCACGTGGACATAATTTTTTATTTAGACAAAAAAAAAACATGTTTTATTCTCTAAATTACTCAACAGCAGAGGATATCCTGATTGGTAGGGAGTTGGGCCCATGTCCAAGAGGTCATGCGTTCGATGATTCCACATGTAGTAAATGGTGACTGGTGCATGCTAAATCTGTCGGGCACAAAGTCCTCTATGTTCACGTAACAAATCATACCTCTGGGGATACTGAATTGGAGATTGATCGTTCTCTGATTCAGATCTAAATTACGATCTGTGGTTGAATGAATGGATGTATGAATGGGTCCGCCCTATGAACGGATTGTGAATATTGCATAGATACTATGGCAGAAATCTTGACCATAGATGGTTTCATTGGAAATTGCTGGAAATCCCCACTGCCGTATGCCATTGATGGCATTCGACAACAACAATGTACTCAACAGAAATTCGCCTTAAATCTAGCCTTATTTAAAATAATGTGGTCTCTAACTTTTACACTCTCACAGCATTTTATTAGTTTGTTCAAAATTTCTGCCATTTGGTTTCAGTTTGCACATCTTTGATGTTCCTCAAACACCCAAAGTCATGAGTATTTCGTTTAATATGATAAATTGTGTTGAATTAGATGTTTCGGATCATACTACCAAAATTTTTTACAATGTTAGAATTTTCATAACCAGGTAAAAAAAAAGAGCGGTCTCTTTATCCAATACGGTAAAGAACATTCTTTACTTTTAAGATTTGAAAACGTTTACAACTAGTATGGTTTCCAAAATGCAATAAAGAAATTTAACTGGACATTGGAACTAGACTTGGAGCTAAATTCCGTTTCAATTGTATTTTATGAAAAGCATGGAATGTGATTTAAATAGTTTATGTGGTTGTTTCACCAGAGATGGGAAATTCTAGACATTTTCTGTGCAACTTTATGATGGTACCATTTATGCGTGAGGGAGAGTATCATATTCTAATAGTCCGTGATCACACATTGGGAAGTGTCGAACACAGGATACTTTTCATGTGTTAAATGGATTTGAGGAAATATTGCGGTGCCAATGCCGGGACTCGCACTTCCGTTCTGTCGGTCAAGAGATTGACAAATTGGCCCTCTCGACTATACCATGTACCCAGCTTCAAGTAACTAAGTGGGTTCATTAGGTGGGCCTAGTTGGTGTGATAAGACTCTGGTTGTTTAACCATATTAGATAAAAGCAGTTAATAAACGTTTCTTCTCGCAATTAACACTTCGAAAACCATCTTATTTATGGTTATTTGACTGCTTTGCTTGAATATGGAAAAAAGTAAATTTTAAAAAAAAATAGTTATTTAACCAATTTTTCGGAGAAATTTTTAACAGTGTACTTCATACTAAGCTTCATAAGGATAATTGTAATTAAATTGGATTCTTATCATAGGACTGTTCCTTAATGTGTCTTTCTAATTATATATTTCGTGTTCTTTTATGTATTGATTACATTTAGAGTAACATAACATAAATTAAGATTTAAACGAAAAGTTAAGTAGTACTTATTTAATTGCAGAATGGTATTTCTCCTTCATTCTAATTCACTATCTTCAACATCATTCTAGTAAGTGTGAAAGATGAGTTAAAAGGTCAAGACCACCAGTCATACTTAAATTGATTCAAGTAGTTACTGTCAATTCAATTAACGCGTTAAAAAAATAACTTAAAAGTGCCCTTGAAAATAAATGTAAAATAAATGTTCAAAGGTTGAACTTATATCTTATGGGCATTAAATTAAATAAGTTATAAATAATAAAATCCAACTTCATGATTATCGAATATTAGTTTCATATTTTTCAGGGTTTATTTTAGTTTCATTTAAAGATTTATCAAAAAACAATAATACATTAATAAACATTAATAAACATATTTCTGTGACATGGAATACTCAAATTGCACGATATTTTGCAATGAAAAAAAATTTTCAATTATGTTTTTGTTCCTACTATCTAGATCATTGTAATAAATGCTAATTTTGATTCAAATTCTCAAGTTTTGTAATTTTTAAACATTATATTAATTCTTGATAATATTTTTTTTTAAAAATACTCTATTACGCACTCAAATTTACAACTTGGTCAACAAACAAAATACTGCTGAAATATCATTAGAATTTAATAATCACAAGATGCTTAATTATAAAACGAGAGAAAACAAAAGAAAGTACTTCAGAAATAACAAAAAAATCATTTAATTTAAGAAGAATATGTTAGTTATTTTTTATCAATATGTATCCATTGTTGTAACATGAAAAAAGAAACTTATTTTAATAATTACTGAATGTTAGAATTGTTGTTTCTACTTAAAATTTAAATTTTTTTTGAACTACAATATAAAAATCATTTATCTTGAACAAAGCTGTTTTTTTAGGTGTAGTAATAAAAAAAAACTTTTGCTTAGTGAAGGAAAAAAAATTGGTCTTAGTAACATTTTGAAATGCAATGTTTTTATCAAAAATTCACTTTTTTTAAATGCTTATCCAAACTTGTACAATATTATCCATAAATCTTGTATAAACATGAAAAACGAATTAATGACAGGTTTTCTGGAGCATAATTTTTCAATTATGCACCAGATTAATAATTTTTCAATTTAACTTGCAACCTTAGACACATCTCAAGGCTAAAAAAAAAGTTTTTTTCAAGAAGCAAGGTTGATCTGAAACTATCTCCGATTGTGTTACGTTGAGAGAAAAATCATGAATGGTGAAAACCTCCTACGGTAAGCCCGACATCAAAGGAACTTTCCCCCACAACCTGTTAACAGCAGCAAATATTTAGTTTTCTTTGTGGTAGGCAGAAAAAGAATACTAGCATAAACTACTAAATTTTATATGTGTTTCGTTTAAATAATGGAACTCTGTGAAAGTTCGGATAGTTTTAGCTAATTTAAAATATTCTTTTATTATCTAAAACGCTACATAAAAACAATTCATTAATAAAAAAGTTTATTTAGTTTCGAAAGCTATATTTCTTTATTATTTAAATAAAAGTACATGGATAAAAGCATTGATTTCGATTTGTGAAAAAATTAATAAGCCCTTAGTATCGATTTCAAATTGTGTCCTAAATTATGTAGAAAAATTTTGCTTTATTATTCGAAAATAATGTAAGTATACTAAAAGGGGCTTGCATTAGTCAGTGCAATCTTAAAATAATACTATAGGCTTTTTTTGTAATTGTACTTGCTCAATTGTTCTTTTTGTATATTTTATGCAGTGTCATTATTTCTTTTGAGTGTGAAGCCTTTTTAAAAAGTAATTTAATTATTATTTTTTTGAACTATAGTTTTAATTGTACAACTAGATATTGAAAAACCACAAATTTTAATTTAATCGTTGCATTGCGTTTAAACAGCAATATAAGTGTAACTCATGTTCAAGCCATGGTTATCTTACAATTATATTGAAAATCAGAAAAGAAATATATTTTTGTTAATATAACAGCAATTATTATATATTGAATAAATAATGAAAAATAGCGTAAAATGTTTATTGTCTTGCGAAAGAAAAATAAATAAAAATAATAAGAATTGCGAAAAGATTTTCCAATTAAATTATTTTTGAATGATACAAAAAATCACACAAAATAAAAAGAGTTCATTGAAAAAGAAGAAAATTCTCCATTGCATTTTTTTTTTTTTAGAATTATTTTGCCTCGAAAAAACGTATCTTTTATAATGAAATTTCAAAAAAAAATCTTAAGTTCGAAATATTGCAATAATTTTCCGTGCATAATATTTTTATTTTGCCATTTACTTCCAAAGAAACTAAGTATAGAAAATAAAAGCAAAAACTTAAGTTATTTGCCCAAAGATTGCTTCAACCAAGATATTTATCTAAAGTTGCACAAATTTATTTGAAGTGAAAGGAATTTTTTCCCTAACTACGGTTCAAAATTTCATTTTAAGTATGGAAAACCACGAGATCCATATCAGTTTTCTTAGTAACTGAATCCACATCATTTCTCCTTAAACTTGTACTCTCAACAAATTTATAATGACCTTTACAATACAGCTATTTCTGCGTAAATCCCAAGATTCCAAACGTCAGCATGTCTGCAGGTTGAGTTAAGATGAGTAATAAAGGCGGAAATTAAAAAAATAATGTTCTTTAAAGGAGAAAAGTTAATTAAATGTCAAACTATCGCCCAAACAAATTTCGTTACATAAATATGAATTAATTATTCTCCAGTGGAATTAATTCTTTACGCAGAACTGAATTTTTAACGAATTTGTTTTTGTTTTGTTTTTTTTCATTCTTATCTTAATGACAAAACTTTAGTTTAAATGCGAAAAAATACTAGATCCTAATCAGTTTCCAGTGTAATTGAATTTACTGCACTACTCTTTACAATTAGACTCATAATGAATTCGTAATTAACGACACCTTATTCTGCGTAAATCCCGAGATTCCAAACGCGGGTATGCCTTAAGATATATTTATGAAGATGAGTTATAAGGGAAATTAAAAAAGTATTTTTCATTAAAAGAAGAAAGTTTTATTTTTAAACTTTAGACCATCTTTCCAACTAATATCATTACTTAAATATGCATCAATTAATCTGTCTCGAATTTTCATTTCTCAATCTAGTTAAAAAAAATAATTCAATTTAAATTTGAAAAATCATTAGCTTTTTATCAGTTTTCATTGTAATTGAGACCATTAAAGTAATCTTGCAGTTACACATCAAACTTTTTTCTTTCTGAATAAACGTCACCGTGTAGCTATTTCTGTGGAAATCCCAAGATTCGGAACGCGTGCACAGCTACAGGTAGATTCATGAAGACGAGTAAACAACAATTAGAATTTCCTTTGCACAATAATCCACGAAATATTGCCACCAATGAACCCATAAGCAACCGTTAAGATCTGTGACGTCAAAAAATACCCATGACATCACCCGATGCGAACCCAACCAATTTCTTTTCCCCATTTCTAGGCTTTATATAAAAGCCTGGTGGTACTTCAGACCGTTTTCACTTTCTTGTGGCGGATCTTCGAGTGTAAAAGTGCATGTGGTGTTGTTTTAAGTTCGAATAAAAGGATATAAAATAAATAAAGAAAGAAAATAAAGGTGAACATTTTAAGTGGGTTGAAGATTGTGACGTGAAAAGGTAAACCGGCCTATCAAATGTGAGAATAGACAGCCGGTCGGACAGGTCATAAGAGAGAATTACTTTCTACAGAAGCTAAGGAGTTCTTTTGATTTCTACTAAAGGACCTAGTGAGAGTGGAACTTCCGTGAAGCCATTAGTATTTGGGGAACTCCTTCAAACGAGACAAGTACTCAAGATCCAAACAGGTAAGTCTGGACTCTCTCTTTCTTCATCATCTTCCTTTTTCACTCTCACTTTTCAGCATCCGCTTTCTCCTCATCTCCGGAGAGTGGAGAAAGTGAAGTGATTTTAACGGAAGATAAATTCGCGTTTTTGTTCTCTTCTTTCTTCTACTTCATAGAGTATTTTCTAAAATATCTCAAAAAATTTATTTTATGTAAACAAATAAAGAAAAGAGTATTTATTTCATTGAATGAATTTTTAATTTCTTTTTTTTAAACTAAACATTTTTTTTATTTTTTAATTAAAAAACATTAATAATTGTAGTAAGTTTCCCGTACATCAAAACGCTTCTTTAAAAAATTCAGTTCAAAGTTGAACCATAATATCTTGTACATTTGATACAGACTAAACTGACATTAAGACGTAAACTGTATCATGTGATCTCTCAAATTGAACCATTATCGCGAAATCAAGTTCAGAAAATGATAATCCGATACAACTTAGTATTATGTTAAAATTTCAGTAAAATTGAGTGATTTTGAACGTTTATTGAATACACTACACATGCATCGAAATAATGATGCATAAAAAATAGTCATACAACTGCTAAAATACAATGCTAAACTGTAAATACACATTTTTCCTTTGTTTCAATTGAGCGATATTAAAATCTAGTTCAGAAAAAGATAATGGATACAGCTTAGTATTATATAAAAGCTACAGTACAATTGAGAGATATTGAACGCTTATTCAATACACTACACAATTATGGAAGTAATGGCATATAAAAATTGTCATACAACAGTTAAAATACAATAATAAACTGTAAATACATTTTTCTTATTTGTTTTTATTTACGAACTCAACGTTCAAATATTGGTCTCATATTTATAGTTATAATTTAAACTAAGTATTGCAATTTTGTGTTTATTACGTGTTTGTTCTCTTAAGTGATATTTTAATTTTAGAAAATATCTATTGTATTATTTTTCATCCAAATGTAAGAATTATTATCAATTACACGAGCATAATAATATACACGTTCATAACGAATATTTCTTCGCGCCTTAGATTTATTTTAATAATGAAATAAATTCTTCACTATTTGATTCATTTCGAGATTCTTATACTTGAGAAAAACTATAATTCAAAAAATATTCTAATTTTAAAGTGTCATTTTTATTGTTAATATTAATCTCATTAAAATTTCAATCAAATTTCATGTGAAATTTATTAGGAATGAATGCACTCATACATTTGATATGTGAGTATTCATATATGATAATTAACATTTATTAACTTACTATCAGTAAACACAGTTAAAATTTTATTGTTTATAAGAATTTATAAATGTTAGCATCATCTATAAGTACAGAATTCGTTGATCTTATTAATTATCGGCAGAAAATAGTTGTTTTTATTTTTCATATTTAGTCAATAATTTTCTAACTGTTGTTTACCAAAGTTATAAATAAGCACTGTACTTTAAAATATTATGAATTTTCAAAAATTAGTTTAATTTTTTGCTTGCAGTGTTAGTTTAAAGAGTAACATTTTACTATTAAAAATTGAATTCGCTCTACAATAAGTAATTTGAAGAAACTATTTATTCAAACAATTACCTCTAGTTCCTTTGAAAAGTGCATTTTCCTTATTTTAATTATTAGTAAGAATGTGAATAAATGTATTTGTGATAATGCTGCACTATTTGGAACTTGTTACATTTACGCTAACATATTGTTCTTATGTTCGTAACTATGTGCAAAAAAATAATTTCCCTACTTCCAAAGATTAAAAATTCATGCATCCTTGAATTCATATCAGTATTATACTAAGTTTATTTATTTGGTTCCTTAAAAACATTGAGAAATCAGCAAGTTAGGTTTTAAATTAAAAGTTTTCAGAACCATGCAAAATCTGTATGAAGCAATTATTTAAGAATTAATACATCTATCTATTTTTTATTTATTTCCTAAATTTTATTAAAATGAAATCAGAAATAGTTGAATTAATTACTAACAAGAAACATGGTCAGTTTATTTAATCGCGATATTCTATGAATATTCCAACACTCTAAAAAATAATGTGCTTTTATCTATAATAAAGTGTTCTGATCTACAATTATTTTTTTATTGTTCAAAAAATTAATCCAAAATAATTATAGCATCTGTTAATAGAAGACAGAAAAATAATTTTAAGAATAGTTTTGATCAAATGCTTTTTGCCATTAATTTTCTTATAATTTTTTTTTATTATGCTTATATAAAAATACTACTTCACACCTAAAATTATTTTACTTAATACATGTATAGTTATCAAAAAAACCTAAGTGCAAATGGTTATTTTAAACTTTAAAATTTCAAAATAAGAAATAATAATATTATGTAACATTTTTTAGCAAAAATTTTTTTAGCAATAAGCTCTTTTATACCTCTCATTCAAAAAAAACTTTATTCTATCCAAAAAAAAACTTTATTTAAAAAAAAAAACATTTATTTTATTCTAATCGAAAGGGCAAAAGTTTTAATTTCTAATAACATCTTAATTTGTACGCCATTAAGAATTTTAACTGTCTCTTAAAATTCAATTCTTTAAAATAAAATAATTTAATTTATAGGCTCTCCCATTAATACATAATACAAATTTTAAAATAATAAAAATTATTTTTGAGACGTATTTATATTTCGTTTCAATCACCTCATCCAAATATTAGCTTTCAGAAAGCTTACATTCACTGCTTGAAGCTATCTTTTTTATAAAAAAAAATATTAATAAAAATTATCTTTATGTATATATTCATTATAGTGATGACTGAATCCATTTTGTCTAAATCGCCTTTCATAAAACATAAATGATTAATACCTGATTTTCTTTCCGATCCGAAAAGATTAATAAATATGTCCGAAGGGAATAATAAAAAATATTAACTTCACTAATATGATTGGAAAGAGAAAAAAAAAACTTCGTTGCAAAAGGAGCTGGAAAAAAAACATATTATTAATCAGTTTCTTCGTAGTACAAACTTGATCAACGAATCTTAAATCAGCTTTGTTTTGATTAAGCCTTTCATTCTAACTGGAACCGCACATCAAATACTAGTCATTAAACTTCTTCCCGAGGCTAATTTAACTGCTAACCTATTTGTTAAAATGTAATTAGCATCACAAAAGTGTTGCGGTACAAAATGCTTATTTTTATTTTTTATATTTTCAATAAAATGACGCTAAGGGTTTGTTTTCATTTAAATATGATCACCTCACAAGAAAGCAATATAAATTTTGTCATAAATAATTGACTGAAACATTTAACCGTGTGATCAATGTATTGAAAATTAAGACATACTCTTCATGTTTTAAAACAAAAATTACGTATTTCACAATGCAATTGTTCAAAAAATAATCAGTTTTATATTATATTACATGCAAATTGTTTATAATTTTGAAATTCTTCGTATTTTCTATTGTATAAATAATAATAAATAATAGGCATTTTGCATTAACAATTTAACCTTGCTATTCCTACAAACTTGTAATATTTAGGTTACTATAACCCGAAAGTTAAATTTTTAGTACAGTGGGTTATTTTCTTTGCTTTTAGAATAATACTCTAAGTACAGATAAATTAGGTTTGTCTTATAATAAATCATTTAAAATGTGTACAAAGATATAGTACAAAGAGCTTAAACTTAATTATTTCCAAATTTTTTACGACTTCTACAATTGAAGAAAATGAAAAAAAAATTTCTAAAAAGGAATTTTTAATTTTTTTTTCTGCAGTTGATTTTTTGTGATTTCAAAACGTAATTGAGAATAAAACTGACTTATTCAAGAGTATTAAAGCGAAGACCCTAACTAAAAATTATTAGACTACTAGAAATTCAAATCGAAAAACTAAATTGAATTAATGGTTTAAGAAAATTTAAATTATATATATATCTTTTTCTTGTTTAGAATAAAACAGTTATCATGCTTAAATTTGGATCCTTATTTTTCAAAAAGGCAAACATTTTTGATGCTTCCAATGATGCATATATAAATAGATTCCCCTCATTTTATCCATCACAATTTTAAATTTACTTAATCCATTGTTATCCTCTGATCACATAAATAACTTCACACATCAGCTATAATATATATTTCCTGAAAACTACGTAAATATGTAGTTTTCTAGGGTGGGATGCAACTACATCAATGAAAGAAAATTCCGCCCAAAGCTAAGTTTGTTCCTCATCTGCTATAACTACTTCCTAAATCATTCTATACCTAGTGATCTTTTTTCATCTCATGATAATTTATTCGTAAGTTAACCATTAAAGGTCATTTGACCCTTTCAATGAAAAGGGTTACGGCGAAATTTGTGTGAAAAAATGTAAGATTCACTTCCTGGCATGGTTATCCGATTCCCTCGGTTATTGTATTTACACTCATTCACTTTTTACTCTTCTTCCTATTTTGTGGATTTTTTTTTTTATATTTTTATCTTTATCTCTAAGAATTAATCGATGTAAATTAGTGACTTTTTTTAAATTTTTAACTTTGTAGTACGAACATTATTTTTTTCTATTTTTTGAATTTAATGTCAATAAATGTTTTTTTTTAAAAAAATTCCTTACAATTTTAATGCTCATATTTATTACCAAAAATTATTGTTATAATTATTATAACAATGTAATCATAAAATCAATTCACTTTACTTAGTCAATATTGATATATAAGAGGAAAAAAACACATTGAAGCATTAAATCATCAAGTCAAACTGGAAAAGCGCACAAGGCAGCTGAAACCTAATTTCTTTTATATAAAATAGAAATAAGACATAAATAAAATCTGAATAATTTAAAAAGAAAATATAAATTTGTGTTTGCAGCACACATTTATATTTTCTTTTTATTTTAATTATTTAGATTTTATTTATGTCTTATTTCTATTTTCTTATAACAATGTTAAATTTTTATATTAGCTGTTATTTTTAGTTTTATTGCATAAACTTTATTGGTTTTCTAAATTTCAAAATAACTAAAAGT